ATTTCTATATTTAATTAAATTACATCTCATTTATTAAGCTATCTTATTTACAGTTGAAGTCACAATTATTAGCCTTCCTGAATTATTAGCCCCCCTGTATATTAACACGTTTAAACATAATAGTTTTAATAGCTAGTTTTTAATAACTGATTTATTTTATCTTTGCCATGATGACAGTAAATAATATTTTACTAGATATTTTAAAGATACTAGTTTTAAGTGCAATTTAAAGGCTTAAGGGTAATTAGGCAAGTCATTGTATAGCGATGGTTTGTTCTGCAGACAATCAAGAAAATGCTTAAGGGGGCTAAAAATATTGACCTTAAAATAGTTTTAAAAAAAAATTAAAAACTGCTTTTATCCTTGCTGAAATAAAACAAATGACTTTCTCCAGAAGAAACAAATATTAGAGGAATTATTACCGTAGAAAATTCCTTGCTCTGTTAAACATCATTTGGAAAATATTTGAAAAAGAACATAAAAATGAGAAGGACTAATAATTTTGACTTTTGTGTTTTGACTTGTGTTTTTAGGCAAAATTATTATATTCTGACCTACAGTAGAGTAACATAAAAGAGAGATTTCAGCCAAACAGTAACAGTAACTTATATAATCATGAAAGACTGTGCCTAGCTATTTTGTTTATTTCCTTGTGATAGCATAGGGGTCAATTAAAATACTGTAGAGTTGAATTTTACTTTACTTAGGTTATATGTAGATGGAAACACCTAATTTACAGGACACATGTCCTCTAAACAATTGCAGTGTCTATTGGTAGGCTAGATCTGTCAGTTTCAGACCGCCGACTAAATATTTTCTCGCAACTCAGCTGGAAGCAAACATGTATTGACAATGGTATGACCCATTATAGGGGGCTGAATTTATATATATATTTGAAATAAAATATATCTCTACATATAATTATATAACTTTATAATAATAACAATAATAATAATAATTATAATAAAATAATAATAATAATAATAATAATAATAATTATTATTATTATTATTATTATTATTATTATTATTACTATTATTATTATTAGTATTATTATTATTAGTATTATTATTATTATTTAAGATACAGATCAGCCTAAACTATAACAAAAACATAATTTTTGACTTGTAAATGTTATTATTATTTATTATTAATAATAATAATAATAATAATAATAATATTATTATTATTATTATTATTATTATTATTGTTATTATTAGTGTAAACTATGAACCTCCCCATAAACCTTGTTTTGACTTCTTTCAGGGAGGATTAAATGCTATTTAGGGGGGGTCAAGCCCCACCCCAAACTCCCCTGTAATTGGCACCCTGCTGATAACACGTGACAGGATAACCCCTGCAAAAAAAGCTGATAACCAACATGTAGGCCCAGTACATATTTATTAGGATGGCTGTGTGTGCAATCAATACAGAGGAGCAAAATCAGTTTGTTTTAATCACGAACAAACATATTGACCTAACACAATACAGGCCACTTTATCTGGAACTAATAAAAATTCATGGACTGTAAACAGGGAGAGGTACTATCTCCGCTCTGCACTCTTTCTCTTTCCCTCGTTCTCTGAAATGAACTTTCTTTTACTGAAATGTGTTAAAATGACAAAGCGAGTCTGGCTGGAGAACGTGTGACGGGATGGCTGAGATTGAAATGGAAGACAATCTAATCGCCGACTCGCAGTATTGTAATATTCGGCCGCGGTTTCGCTAAATTGGTTTAAGAGAATCAAAAGTCAAGGCTCATTTGAAATATTACTGATAAATCTATAATTTAACATTTTTTGCGTTATATGCTCAGAGTTCCAGATAAGAAAGCGGAGCAAAAAAATTAAAACTATACATGATTTAGGAGACAATTTCTTATTCAAAGTGACTAACAGTGAGGTAGACAGTCTCCCTGAAGCAAATTGTGCATTTTATTTTTTTTTAGATGAAGTAATCTGTCCACAAAGAGCAAGAACATTTGCAGCCAATCAGAACATTTTTAGATTTAATATGGAGAACAGGATATTTGGAGCAATGAAATCTGAAACCATGCCACTGAAAAAAAGCATTAATAGCTTCATGCCTAAGAGTCAAATCAACATATTAGACTGTTTTCTGAATGATCAGGTGACACTGAAGAGTTAAAGGGGTCATGAAGTATATTAGTTTTTAATTTTGTACTGTTTTCTGAGGTCCACTTATAATGTTATAAAGATCTTTACATCAAAAATACATCACAATAAGGTCTAATTTCAATGCTGTTTTTGACCTCATCAGAATGCTCTGTTGAAATGGCCAATTGTAGACTTAGAAGTAAACGTCCACTGCTCTGATTGGCTGACAGTTTTGCATAATAACAGGGCTAAACAGGTGGTAAAGTAGAAATGGGCATCAACCTTCTATGTATGTGTTTGTTTCTTTGTTTGTTTGTTTACACTTCATTGTCCCCAATGGGGAAATTTGTCTTGCCCACATTTGCATACACTGAACATCACAGACTTAAAAAACATAAATCAACACAAACATTCAATCATCAGCAATTACATATTTAAAAGTCTTACCGATGTAGGTAAAAAAGATTTCTTAAAACGATTATATCTGCACACAGAGAGCCTGTAAGGTGGAGCTTATTCAGTCCAGGACATTATAGAGTAGAATATTCCAGAACCTGTTTTGTCAGACGCCTTTCAATTTAAGCTGATTTTAAAGTAACCATTAAGGGTGGAGTTCTGAAACTTACAGGAAGTTTTTATAATACTCTGAGCTCTTAATGTCAGAAGATCAATGAGATATTGGGTCTTTAGTTCATGACCCCTTTAGGTAATAAGGATAAAAATTCAGCTTTTACCACGATTAATTCCTTCATTTATTTTCTTTTTGGCTTAGTCCCTTTATTAATCAGAGGTCGCCACAGTGGAATGAACCGTCAACTTATCCAGCATATGTTTCACACAGCGGGTGCCCTTTCAGCATTCACACACAAACACTACAGACAATTTAGCCTTCCTAATTCTCCTCTACCACATCTTGGACTGTGGGGGAAACCAGAGCACCCGGAGGAAACCCACACCAACACGGGGAGACAAACAAACTCCACAGAGAAATGCCAACTGACCCAGCCAAGACTCGAACCAGTGACCTCCTTTCTGTGAGGCAACCGTGCTTCCCACTGCGTCACCGTAGCACCCACATGATCAATTACATTTTTAATTATTTTTACAAAAACGTCTGAAATATTTTTTACACAACTGTTTTAATGGGTAAATAAATAATCAAATAAATGCAAATGTATGCAATATTTTCCTGCACTACATATCATTTTTAGAGCTACATATGCTGTGACACATTGCACCATACTGTAAATACCACTTTTCAGCTTTGACTGAACAACAAAAACACACAAAAAAGACTTTTCTTAATTGTATGGTTTTCAAACTATGTTTATGATATTTGAATGTAACATATGCCACTTTTAGAGCATGACAGTACAAGTTTTCAGTGTAAAGTAGCATAGTATAGCGGCAATACAATATAGTGGTGCATTCATTCCATCAACACAGACGCACAAACAAGCATATTAGCGCCTGAGCTTTGCTTAGACTTGCGCCTCAGCAGGAGGCCCACAGTTTCAGTAAAAATGACAGCCCAAGGTTCCAGTAAAAGTTATTCAGCTTAAAGTGAAATTTAAAGCCTCAACTATTAGGATTAAAATTAGGATTACTAGACATATAAGGTTAATTAGGCAAGTTTTAATTGTAGAAAAAAAATATCTTAAAAGGGCTAATGGACCCTTTTCACATTTCCGGGTTTCTCAGTAGTGGAAGGCGTCAAAGTTGGATAAACTTACAGTACAGTGAATCGGAGAGTACAACATTTTTTAATAGCCCTATTTACTGATGTAATAAAAGAAAAACTCCACGATGGTGTTATCAAGACTTCAGAAAAAGGAAAAAATAGTGTGAAACTAATGAGGGCAGCCAGAGGGGAAAAAAAAAATGTCAAATTTACTCTCAGCCCCTGCATTAGAAACGCCTCACATAAGCGGTAATTCGTTATTTGTAATTTGATGCAAAGATGGTATACTACATACAAAAATGCATATAAATGTTCATATGTTAAAAAAAAAATCTAAATATTAAAAACTTTCAAGAATTTAAGATTAAGATAACCGCTAAACGCATCATAACAGGCTTGTGAAAAGGGTCCATAATATTACCTTTACAATAATAATAATATTTTATAATATTATAATAAACTGCTTTTACTTTCTCTAAAAGAAAATTTAATACTATATACCGTGAAAATGTCCTTGCTTTGTTAAACAGCATCTGAGAAATATTAAAAAATAAATAAATATATAATTTTGCCTTCAACTGCCTTAATTAAATAAAATAAACCATCCCTTTCATTTTATACCCTATCTAGATCAACTTTGTAATTTTCACATATCCCAGACAAAAAAACAAACAAACAAACAAACACATACCAGCACTGACATAGTCAATGAGTCAACTGTACATAGCAGCTTTCAAGAACAAATGAAATCAAAACTTGATTTTGTTAGCTCGCATTGTTTGTGACGTGCATGTCATTAAACAAAAACTAAATGTTTGTCCTTGTAATCATGAAATGAAATCTGAAAATGCACTTCCTGTTTATTTCCAGTTAAATCCTCAGATTACGTCTGTCTGAGGTTTTGGGCGTGGCCAACATAATTAACCACGCCCCTTTAACTCTCAGTTTTGACAACAAACAAAAATAGTGAAGAGTATGAGTCTGTTAGGTTGTAATAACTCTCCCCAAACCCTTTTCCCAATCTTTCTAAATTAAATACCTACTTTACTACATCCAATCAGCTTGGAGTATAAAAAACAAGCCACACCCACTGTTTTCTCATTTATTATTCCGTTCATCTAGGAACTGCATCTCAATATGAACCCGCCCTCCCAAAAAAACAGTCGCTGCTTCCGGTTCACGCAGACTTTAAACACACTTACCTTATAGAGGTGATGCTGCTGCTCCTCTGACATCATCAGATCGTGGCTGTCCGTCACGATGGATTCCATGTCCATCAGCCAATCCCAGAGCTCCTGGTACTCGGCCTCAAACTCTGATAGGCTGAGAGAAAAGAGAGAAAGGTTTTCAGGTGAGGTCTGCGGAGACGCTGTACGGACATATTTTACTGGGTGAATATTTGACAAGCGGAGGTAATTACACTGGCCCGTTAGCGGCTGGTGCAGCGAGGCGCAGTGCGTTGTGGGCATGTGAAGTGTGAAAAGAGTCGGGGAGCACGAGGGATCTTTAACCTGCGCTCTGAGTGACGGATCGTGAGGCTCAGCGTCTTAATTAAACATGACTTCACCTCCCTCTTGCTCAAAGCTGCCGTCAGCTCCAGCACATTAAAGAATTTCCAACCGCACTCGGATGACTGTATGTGGAGTACGCATGGGACAATAATAACAGGTTTGGAAGAGTCAAGGTTTTATAACTGCTAATATTTTTTTTAAACCGTTCCTAAGATTACATTTTTTTTATATGTTTTTAATTATTATTTTATTATTTTTTTAGGGAAACAGTAACTCCAGCAGTAAAGGACCCTCCCCATCAAAAGCCACTGATCAGCCCACTATTCAGGAAAGTGCAGAGGCTTACTGCAGTGTTTCAACCACGATCCTGGAGGCCCACCAACACTGTATGTTTTGGATGTCTCCTTTGTCTGTCACACCCATTGCAGGTCTTTCATACTCTGCTAATGAGCTGATGATCTGAACCAGGTGTGTTTGGTTAAGCAGACAGTGAAAATCTGCAGGGCTAGTGGTCCTCCAGGAACAGGGTTGAGAAACACTGACTTACTGTATATCTAAAAAATCCAAAGATGCCTTTTCAACTTATAAAGAAATCAGTGTTTTTGAAACTAATGAAGACTAGAGGTCTGAACTGAAGCAGAGGTCAGTGATTCATTTGAATTATTTAGCCTGACATTACTGCTCCAAAATATTAAAATATGGTAACACTTTATTTTGATGGTCCAATTGAGTATTAGTAGACTGTCTGCTCAATATCTGTTGACACTGCTGCTAAACAGACATTTACCAGACTATAAGAAACTTAACAAATACATGTTAACTTACACTAACCCCAACCTAACAGTCTACTTATAATCTAATGAGAATTAGTTGGCATGTACAGAAGTTGCAATGTAAGTTAAAGTCACTAAACAGACCATCAAAATAAAGTGTGACCAAAAAGGTTTTATACAAAAAAATATATTGTTCAATGGGGAAAAGTTGTTGTTTTTTACTCAGACATTTTAAAAAGAAGATGTTTCACATCAGCATTCACAATACTTTAATACCATGATATTTTTATCCAAGTTAATCATATAGTCAAAATCTTAAACTGGCCCATGCCTTATGTGGACAGTATAGCGGGGCACTCATAAAGCCTAGTTCACACTACAGGATTTTAAACATCAGCAGATCGCTGTGCCGTTCACACTACGTGACCTGACTTTGTGTTAATCTCTGTGGTGTTCACACTACGCAACACTCCGTGAACGATCCACAAGAGGGGGGTCACACACTACATGATCTGACAACAACTCATTCCCCATCAGTTCATTCAAGCTACCAAACCACAGCCAATGAAATTTTGAGGGAGGAGTCGTCAGAAAAAGCTGAACACTATTGGCTGCTTGTGTGCGGATTACATCACTGACAGTGTTTCAAGCTTTGGAGAAAGCATTTAAAAACATCGTCAAATCAGCTGGTTTATCAGCGGATTAATCACTCATCTGCAGGCTCCAGTGGATAGATACACAGACAGTTTGTAATTTTTGTAATTTTATAACTCTTTGAAATAAAACTAATATATTTATAACACCCTGCCGTTTTCTAACTATCAGTGTATTTCTTTCTGACATTATTATTTTTTTATTACAAGACAGTAAAGAACTGAGCATTTCTGCCTTAAATTACCATATTGGTTAAAATGACTGCATGCATGTCTAATACTTTTCACTGTGGTTTTAAATATGTGTGCATTTTCTTGCCTAGCAACTTCCTGCTAACATAAACAAAACTTTCTGATGGCAAAAACATCAATTTTCTTTAGATATCTTTAAAAACAGCATATTATGTGCTGTGAAATAGCTCCTGTTTGAAAGTGAAAATGAAAGCCAAGACCTTTAAGTGTTTTAGTATCTTAACTACATATTTATAGGCTGTATTACAAAAAAAGGATTATATTTTTTGGGTAATGGTGTCATTAAATATGATGCCAGACATTCAAAGCTTAATTTTAATATCTCAATAATAGTTTTGAATGTAAATATGTTGTGACAATATGGCAATTTCTATAAGAACCGTCAGAATGAGCAGTATGGTAATTCTAATAGTTACACAATTCTAGTTCCACTGTTAATATAGCCTACTCTCGTGTCTGTGTTAACGCAGAATGAAGCGAGTGCACAGATGCCCATTCTGACCAATCACAGATGTTTCTGCTGAGCTCCTGAACACACAGGCACGCGGCTCATGCTGATATGCTCTCTCATTGGCTGCAGCTCGTCACTACATCTGACCACACATGGGGTTGAGTCGGCCGACTGCTCTGGAATATTTAGCATGCTGAATGTTGGATTTCCGTCTGCGAGGTGTCGGCGACGCGTCAGCGAGCCTCGTTGATGCGTTGTTCAGTAGTTCACACATAAAGAGCGGCGAGCGCCGTGCACCCGCAGATTTCTTCCCGATCACAGCCCGATCTGTCGGCGAGCTCGTTAACTTCCAAATCGGGCTCAAATCAGGCTTAAAATCCTTTAGTGTGAACTAGGCATAACAGAACATCAACACAGAGGCACAACGTATTAGCGCCTGAGCTTTGCTTAGATGTGCACCTCAGTAGAAGGCCCACACGTTTAGAAACATTAGTGGGAAAATTGTTTTGTTGAATTTGCACAGCTTTTGAGCGCTTTGACAGTTCTGAGCATTTAATTTAATCTCCTCTTGCTTTTACAAGCGGTCCTGTATAATGATCAAACGTGTTGCGAGAGGAAAGGATAACATATAATTTTTAGAGCTATCCCAGCAGGCACAGGACGTCAACATGACGTCAGATTGATGGTGTACCCCAATGAGGTGGAACAATGCATTTTGTTTGTAAATGAAAATCAGGTTGAAGTCAGAACCCAACATCAGGCGACGTCAATGTCCAACGTCAGACAGACATTGTATTTTGGTCACTTTCCAACACAACCTAAAAACAACAAAATATCAACGTCTAAAAATGTTACAGCTCGACATTGTGTGGACGTTACCACTATGACGTCTATCAGACGTTGGATTTTGGTTGCCATAGCTGATGAGTAAATGTCAGTATTTGACATCAATATCACATTGGTTTAAGATGTTGGCTTGATATTGGATTTTGGTCACTTTCCAACACAACCTAAAAATAAACAAATATCAACCTCATTTCACGTCGTTATTGGACGTCAAAATAACATTGTACTTAAACACTGGCTAACTAAATCTAACCAAATATTAAAGCCTTATGACATTGTGTGTCTGCTGGGATGTATGCTGTTTGACAAGTCCTTCCCAAGAACAATTCATTTATTGTAACATATAGTACAAACATACTCAAAAAAAAACTATACTTTTCTTAATTTTTATAGACTACATACTATGTTTTTGATATTTTAATGTTGCGTTTGCCACTTGTGGAGTATGACAGCCCAAGTTAAAAGTATTCAGCTTAAAAGTGCAATTTGAAGGCTAATTAGGATTACTACAGCAGATAAATTAGGTTAACTTGGCAAGTTATCGGACATCAGTGGTTTGTTCTGTATTAAACATGACTTCACCTCCCTTATGCTTAAAGCTGCCAGCATTAAATAATTAATTATTAAATAAAATAATTAAATATTAATTTTAATAATTACATAAGTAAATTAATTTTCAACTGCACTCGGATGACTGTATGTGGATAGTATAGCGGGGCACTCATAACAGAACATCAACACAGACGCACAAACAAACATATTAGCGCCTGAGCTTTGCTTAGATTTGCGCCTCAGCAGGAGGCCCACATGTTTAGAAAGGAAATTGTTTTGTTTGTGAACTTCTAATGTCATCAAGACCTTTACATCAAGAATACATCACAATTAAGAACAGCCTAAATGGGCTAGCAAAAAGCTTTAAATATTTTTTTTCCACAAATAATAAGTCAAAATTTTGTAGTACAAATAAATGCACATTTATGCAATAATACTTCATATAATTTTTAGAGCTACATATGCTGTTTGACATAAGTCCTTCCCAAGAACACAATCCATTTGTTGTACCATACTGCAAATACCACTTTTTAACTTTGACTAAACAACAAAAAACACACACAAAAAAAGATTTTTCTTAATTTTATGAATTTAAAACTGTTTATGACGTTGAGTTTGCCACTTTTGGTTTTGCTTTCCAGTGTAAAGTACAATTATATAGCGACAGTAGTATAGCAGCAGTATAGTATAGCGGCACACTCATAACAGAACATCACCACAGATGCTCAAACAAACATATTAGAGCCTGAGCTTTGCTTAGATTTGAACCTAAGCAGAAGGCCCACTTCTTTAGAAACATAGGGGTGAAAAATGTTTTGTTTGTGAACTAAAAAGGTCATCAAGATCTTTTTATCAAAAACACAATTGCATAATAACAGGGCTAAATTGGCAGTACAGTGTGAGCATCAATCTTCTGTGTAGGCGAAGCTTATCCAGTCTATGACATCATAGAGTAGAAGATTCCAGAAGCTGTGGCTTTGTCAGGCAGTCTTCAATATAAGCTGATTTTAAAGAGTTCTGAAACTTACAGAATATGGGTTCAGAACATTCTGTTTGAATGGCCAATTGTAGACTTAGAAGCAAAAATCCCCTTGCTTTGATTGGCTGTCAGTTTTGCATAATAACAGGGCTAAAAAAGCAGTAAAGTACACTGTAAAACTCAATAAACTCAACCATTTAAGTTCAAAAACTAATCCTAATGAGTACCTTGAACTTAATTTATTTGAGTAAAAGAAGCAATTTGAGCACAATAAAACCCAATAAATGAAGAGAACTCAAACCAACA